CTCGCCTGACCCCGCACGCCCCACAAGGAAAACATGGAAGAAGTCGCTATGAACTACCTTTGATGAACTGGAAAACGATAAAAAGCTAAAAAGTCACAATAAGCGTTTCTCCAAAGACCAAATCCAACGTAAAAATTGCCGCCATAGTTCTTATTAGACTCATTTTTTAAAAGCAGGACTTTGGTCTCAGGGCTCGATCCCCAGTGTGGGGCGTGCAGGAGGCAGCCGATCCATGGTTCTCTCTCATCATTGATGTTTCTGTCTCTCTCTCTCCTCCTCCCTTCCTCTCTGAAATCAATAAAAATATTTTTTAAATAAATAAATACAGGTCTTTGAATGGAATTATTTGTTCTGGTCTAGAAATATGGGCAAAATTTTATGAATCCAGACCCCTCCCTCCATCGCCAAAAAAAGAGCCACACAAAACAGGACAAGGGGAGCATTTTGAGGAGGGGGAGCTCCCTTCTCCCTGGGAGGGCAGTGGCGGGAGGGGTCATGGCGGCCCTAGAGAGGCACTCTCACCTCCTCCCAGCGAAGCCAAGGTCAGGGGTTGCGGGCAGCCCCCAAGGCCTCGAAGGCCCTGAACCCTGTGGAGTGGCTTGTGCCGGGGGAACCCCGAACCCCTGGCCCCCAGGGGCACAGCAGAGGACACTCGGTCATGCCAGCTTCCGTGGGACGTCCGTGGACCCACAGCCACAGGGAACCCATCCCCGAGGCTCAGAGCAAATATAGGGGCGGGTTCACGCTGAGCCTGCCCAAGGGCGTGACCCAGAACCTGGCGCAGGGGCCGGGGTCGGGAACATGAATGCGACTCGGGGACCATGGAAACGTGCAATGCTGCCCTGGCCGGTGTGGCTCCGTGGATGGAGCACCGGCCTGAGGACCAAAGGGTCCTGGGTTTGATTCTGCTCAAGCTCAGTTGCAGGCTCCTCCCTGGCCCAGGCCCTGCTCAGGGCTCGTGCAGGAGGCAACCGATCGACATGCCTCTCTCACATCGATGTTTCTCTCTCCCACTCTCCCTAAAAATCAATGGGAAATATCCGAGGGCGAGGATTAACAAAAAAAAGAAAGAAAGATGAAACGCTGGCCAAGGACCCCCGGGGGCCAAGCACGATGCTCTGACTCGGCCCTCGTGGCTACCTCACCGCCTGCCGTGACCGCGCGTGGCCGTGGGGGACACTCACATACTCATCCAGAATCAGGTAGGAGTCCTTCATCTGCAAAGGGAGAGGGACAGGCTCAGCCTCACATTCGGCCTCACGCTCGGGGGCTGCCCCGCGGGTCTGTGTGTCTGTGGTCATTACCCCGGCTCCACGCTTCCCACCTCGCCTCAGTGGCTCTGGGCATGTGGCCCCAGGTGAGCCTCCTCCCCTCCCACCTCCCCCCGCGCTGCTCCCCCCC